AAAAAAAAAAAACAAAACAAAAAACAAAAAACAAACAAACAAGCAAACAAAAAACCTATAGCCATATGATAAAAAGCTATTATAAATGATTTCTCCCTCTTGAAAAGATAGGTCTTTAACTTAGAAATTTCAAATCTGGAAATCTCCCTTAGAGAAATAATGGAAAATGTAGACAAGCATTAGAGTGCAAAAATATTCAACACAGCATTATTTGTAATAATTAGAGAGGGTAATCGGTGGGACCACACCTATGGTGCATCTTACAAGGGTACATGTGAAATTTACTAAATGTAGAATATAAATATCTTAACACAATAATTAAGAAAATGCCATGAAGGTTATATTAACGAGTTTGATGAAAACATTTCAAATTATATAAAACCCAGCACATTGTACCCCATGATTGCATTAATGTACACAGCTATGATTTAATTAAAAAAAATAAATAAAAATAGTCAAGGCAAGATATAGTGGCTTATGCCTGTAATATCAACACTTTAGGAGGCCAAGGCAGGAGGACCACTTGAGCCCAGGAATTCGAAGTTACAATGAGCCATGACTGGGCCACTGTACTCCAGCCTGGGTGAGAGAACAAGATCCTGTCTAAAGAAATAGTAATAATCTGAATGTCTAACATGGAAAACTTGCTAAATGATTTATGGCACACCTATATAAAGGAATCTAATTTACTAAAAGTCATAATTTCAGAGATGAATAAAAAGTCTTACATTATGATATTAGGTAGAAAAGACACAAAATTATACAATATGATTCCACTTTCTTAATTTTTTTTTTTTGAGACAAGGTCTTTGCTCTATCACCCTAGCTAGAGTGCAGTGGCATCATCATAGCTCACCCTCAAATTCTCAGCGCAGGCAGTCCTCCTGCCTCAACCTCTGGAGCAGCTGAATCTACAGGTGTGTGCCACTATACCTGGCTAATTTTTTGGGGGGGGAGTGGTGAGATGGGGTCTTGCTAATGCTCAGACAGGTTTTGAACTCCTGACCTCAAGCAATCCTCAAGCCTAAGATTACAGGTGTGAGCCACTGTACCTGGCCCTAATTAACTTTTTTAAATGTCTATTTGTACATGTATAAATATAGAGGGAAAGGCTAAAAGTAATTGCTCCAAGTAATTATTAGTGGCAATCCTTTGGTATTGGGCTTTTAGGTGTTTTACGTCATTATTTCCTATGGTTTTGTATTTTCCAAATGAGGATGTGTTACTTTCATAATGAGGGAAAACACACAAAACAAAATGAGAAGTTGGAGAGCAACATGAAAGTGAGGTAGAGGCTCAGGCTGGTAATTCTAGCATTTTGGGAGGACGTGGCACAAGGATAGCTTGAGGCCAGGAGTTCAAGACCAGCCTGGCCAATACAGTAAGTCCCCCACCTCTACATAAAGGACACAAAATGGGGGAGGATCCTGTGAACTCAAGTATTTGGGACCAGCTTGAGCAAGTGTGAGACCTCCTCTCTACTAAAAACAGAAAATTTAGCCAGGCATTATGGTGAGCATCTATAGTCCCAGCTGAACTCAGGAGCCTAAGGTAGGAGGATCACTTGAACCTAGGAATTTGAGGTTGCTGTGAGCTAGGCTGATGCACTCTAGCCTGGGACAACAGGGTGAGATTGTGTCTCAAAAAAAAGAGTACAGAAAATTAGCCAGGTGTGGTGGCACATGCTTGTAGGCCCAGCTACTTGGGAGACTAAGACAGGAGGATCATGTGAACCCAGGAGTTTGATGTTGGCATGAGCTATGATGCCACCTCTGCCTTCTAGCCTAGGTGACAGAATGAGACCTTGCCTCAAAAGCAAAAGCTAAAAAAGTGAAAGAGACAGAATATAAAAATCCACCACTAAATGTTCCAAATGTTAATTCCACCATTGCTAAAGTAAAAGAACCATGGGAATAATTCTAGAAAAAAAAGATGATCTTGTTAACAATATAGTATCTATGGTCCCATTGGAGTTACATAGTGTTTGAAAATAATCTGGCTGAAATAACATAAATAGGGCCTACTATGTTGTACCACAGTGAGTGTTCAAATCCCATCCTGATGGTTTAACTACATCCACAGCAGCCAAGGATAACATATTTTCCTTATTAAAAAAAGCCCCTATACTTGAGGCAATGCCTGTGGCTCAAAAGGGTAGGGCAGGTTCAAACCCAGTCCTGGCAAAAAAAAAAAAAAAAAAAAAAAAAATCCCTTATACTCTTATTAAATGTGATCATTTCTGCAAAAGGAAGTTCCAGGAGCAGTAAGAAAACGTTCACCTGTCAGGTTTTATTCTAGTCTAGCTTAGACCCATGCCAGCTCCGTACTTCTCTCTTCTTATCCCACTTCATTTCTCTTTGTCTTTCATTGATCTTTTCCATGGGCACAAGAGGACTCTGGAGGAAGAGGACATGATCCAGCACCCAGTACCTCTCCACAGCACTGGCTCATAATCACAGCTCCTCTTTTTTTGCTGTGGTGTCATAGCTCATAGCAACCTCAAACTCTTGGGCTCAAGCGATTCTTTTTCCCCAGCCTCCTGACTAGCTGGAACTACAGGTGCCCATCACAGTGCCCGACTATTTTTAGAGAGTCTCACTCTTGCTTAGGCTGGTCTTGAACTTCTAAGCTATGCAATCCGCCAGACTTAGGCTTCCAAAGTGCTAGGATTCCAGGCATGAGCCCCCGTGCCTGGCCACTCCCCTTTTCTTGGTGTTCACTCTTTCCTGTTTGGATCTCACCTCCACCGATTACTCATCTTTTGGACCCAGTTCCCCTTTTCAAATGCCATCAGTATCTGACCCATCAATCTTCTGACAACTCTGTGCCATGGTTCATCATCCCCAACTCTTCCAACACTCATCCCCATGTCTGACCAGCTTCCCATCTCACCATCACACCACATGGCCCTGCTAAGAACTAACTTGAGGCTCGTCTCCCACCTGCATCTATTACTTCTTCAATTGGCGCCACCCCCTATGGTTCAGTCCCTTTCACTTCACCCTTGTAGCAGGAACAGAGTCCCTGCCACTTGGCTGCTATCGTGAATGCCCTGTCCACCGCCAGACCCTTAGATCTTGGCCATGTTAGTTCCACTTTTCCTTGAGAACACTGTTGGAGAAGTCATGAAGCCTTGTTCATTGAGTATTTGATTGAGCACAAGGTCCAGGCAAACTTGCTAACTTCTTTCTGGCTCTCAGTAATGCCAGAGAATCCTCTTGTTCATCTTACTGACTTCCTGTGATCATTCCTCATGCTTCTCTTCCTACAAATCTTTGCCTCTAAGAGGTGAGCTAGATCTGACCTTTGTGCCTAGATCAAGGTCCCATGTAAAAGGGTCATTTTATTATTCTCATCTTAGTTTATAAGAACTTAAAAGCCACATCCATGACTTGGCGCCTGTAGCTCAAGAGGCCAAGGCACCAGCGACATACACCAGAGCTAGCAGGTTCAAATCCAGCCCAGGCCCGCCAACCAACAATGCCGGCTGCAACCAAAAAATAGCGAGGCTTTGTGGCGGGTGCCTGTAGTCCCAGCTATGTGGAAGGCTGAGGCAAGAGAATCACTTAAACCTAGGAGTTGGAGGTTGCTGTGAGCTGTGATGCCAGAGCATTCTACCCAGGGGACAGCTTGAG